CACACACACATACACACACGCAAACACACATTCACTCACACACACACACACACACACACACAAACACACACACACACACACACACACACACACACACACACACAAACAAACACTCACACACAAAACAAACACACACACACACTCCACATAAGCGTGGATGACGCCCGTGAACACCCACCCACACCCACTAGGCGAGGCGATCAAACAAAAAACCCCCCCCCCCCCCCCCCCAAAAAAAAAAAAAAAAAAAAAAAAAAAAAAAAAAAAGAGAGAGAAGCGTGTTTGCGTGCGTCCGCGGCGGCCACAACCCAAGGCCACACGCCAAAGTACCAAGAAAAACAAAGCGTACTCTAAACAAGCAGCGGAGCCGCGCGCTGGCCAAGGCAAGGTCGCCGGCCGGTCCTCTCTCTGCATAATTAAAGAGAATGGGTCGACAGTTGAGATGAACGCCTGCGTGCGCTTGTGGCCCTGTGTGGGGACGGGGGGGTCCTATAACCACCCTCTAAATCCTTGACATCAGACAGCCCCCCTCTCTCCCCAGATCCTTCTCCTACTATTGCCAACAGCCATGCTGCGTTATTCGTTGAAGGCAATCTGTTCCATGTTATACCTTCCCTGCCCTAGTGATGGACATGATTACACTTAATTCACCTCAAATTGCCCTGTTACTCCCTTAAGCCTCCCTCTTTCTACTAATCTCTGCCATTTAGTTCACTAACACCCCTGCTTTCCCCCCCCCCCCGCCATTTTCACTTACTCATGATCTATCCTGTTGAAACACTGTGGCTCCCTAATCTGTTAACCCTAGAGGCTACGGGTATGGGGGACGAGTATGGGTGTGGTACGCAGCCTTGCCATTGGCCCATTGTGTAGTTGGAATTTAGTAATTGATTTGTACTTGATTTAGATGGGAGGAGGCTCCGAGCGAAGTAATAAATCACCAATGAGCGCTAATTACAGGCGAAGTACGGTCTCACGCTTGTGCGATACCGAATTTCCTTGATTTCGATAGATTTCTAGATGTTTGATAACTGCGTTAGTAATTCAGTAAAAACATAGTAAATTATAATGTTTATAACAGAAAATAACAGTCTGGGTATATTTAGTTAGAGTGAAGACAGTAGCTAAAAAGAAGCATTTTTCCCACTTTTTCAAGAAAAGTAAGAAAATAATCGCAAGGTAGAGCTCTGCGTAGATGTTTAAGAATTGGCAAAAGCCATCTAATGTGCAGAAACATGTATAACCCTAAAGGTGAATGGCGATAGAGAGAAACGCGATCTTATGTCCCGTGTCGGACACAGATTGGGGAGGTTAGACACATTTGACGGTAAGATTGTGAACTGTTTTACCTGTTCTGAGCGATAGATACTAGACCATAGCGAAGGGAAGGGGAACGGGAGGGAGTTGAGATGGTCAGTGAAGCACATGGTATTGATATGGGTATATCAAACGTGTAGACCGGGAAAGGTATAAGCAGTTACAGACCAACTTGGCTTACGACCCGATCGAGGGGAGAGAGAGTGACGAAAAGTGACGAGCCTAAACCGCAGAGGGATTGATGGGAGATGTAGAGACGCGTAGATAGCCCGTATGAGTGACGAGCGCAAACTAATTTGCCATGCTCTTTTCTTCTCCCCCATTACGTTTCCTTCTCTGCTATCGACGCCAGACTGATCTGTCCCGCTTACCTAGAATGAGGAGATGTGAGATTAGTGCTGAAAGATGGAACGAAGGCTGATTGAGAGAGAGAGTAGCGAGAGAGTAGTGATCAGATACAGAACACCTTTAGGAGCCTAGTTACTCTTGAAAGAACCGCGACCTATACGCCCTGAGGAGATGGGGGACACCTGAGGGGAGTAGGAGCCGATTGTCCTTTCACCACTTATTCATACTTCTCACCATGGCAATAATGAAGACTTTACCGTTAGGTCATTGATGCTTGGCCCCTTCATTCAACCAGTCTATCTAATTTTGATTTTTCGTTTTCCCGACCCCTGGCCTCTTCTTTGACCACAGGCTCTGACATCTAGCTGAGTGTTTGCTATCAAACTCTAATCCATTCTGAAGCCCATTACCATAGTCATAACGGTGAAACCGTATCAGAAAATTGTGCCCGTTTCACCGTCTGGCCTAACGAGTAGGGCCTCGCGAGCGTACCATTACCCACAGTCTTCTTCATTGGGCTAGCGCCCCGTCACGCACCGTGAATTAACGTAACTCTTGCATCTTATGTAGTCCTTCGACTCGCGCAGATACGAAAGAGAAAACGTAGATAATTCACTGCACGATATCACAGCACGAACCAAACAGTCGACCTATGTCCTTGTCGAAACTATTGTCTAAGAGTATACCAACCGTACTGAAACAAAAGCCCCTTTAAAGTAACGAGACAGAAGAAGAATAATGAGACACGCAAAGACAGAGACAGAAAGAGGAGGAAAACAAAAAGAAAGAAAGAGCGAGATGTATAAGTTGAATGACCATCTTCCCAGGATAAATTATTTGGGCCGCCTTTCGTACGCAACGACCAGCCTCTAATCATGTCGGTAATTATAATTTGTTGAATAACTCTGACTGGTGAGTGATATCGAAATATCGATGACTGATGAGGCTAATTAAGACCGTTGGTTTTATAAATATCTTTAGTAAAGATCTTGTCATGGGAATACAATAAATTAATAAATTTATAAATGATAGCAAAAAAAAAAAATATATTATATATATATACATATAGTATATATATATATATATATATATATATATATATTATATATAATATATATATATATATATATTTACATATTGGACAATGAACATACTGCAATTAATGACGACAAAATGACGACTAGAAAGAGGCTAAAATAATAATCGGGAAAGAAAAAGAACAAATATAAGTAGTAATAGAAAATGATGATAATGTAAAATAGTGATACAAACAATAATTCATGTAAATAGTTAAAAGAAAAAGAAAATTGAGAATTTTCAATGGCCACCCAGCATTGTGGATTGATTCTTTTGTGATTCAGCCACAGCCCCCTTAGCTCTGACAATACCCTTCTCTCCCAACAATGTCTCCAAGAACAAGTAGGCAAAGTTCCAAGCTTGTGCACTATCTACCCTGACTGACCTCACTGGCAAACATATTCCTGCCCAACCTCACTTCTCTGATAATATTTGTACAAGAGCTGTTTCTCTCTCCATGTCTATATTCCTGTGTACGACAAGGACTGGTCTGACTGTGAAAATGACCTGCTCACCTGCCTTATTGACTATGATGCAGTGGCAGTACAATGATACACTATTCTTTCTAGAGGCCAGTGTAAGTCCTATGCCAGTATTGCTAAGATTAGCTTCTGTAGATATGACCTTCCCCAAGGAGTTTATAATGGTGGAGTGTTCTACCCAGTCTGACCATATTGATCCCTTCATCAATGTCAGAAATGATGGCATTTTGTCCACAGCCCGCTGCCCTCTGTGTGCCTAACTTGGTCACGACTGTTCAAATTGTTTTGCTCAATGGCGTATATGTGCTAATTGTGGTGACTCCCATAATGCATTTTAAAAAGAATTGCCCTACCCACAACCTGGAATCTGAGATATCAGTTCTCAGATTCAAAACTAGGCCTCACTCTACGTGAGACCAGACAGAAAACATGGCAATAAGTTTTATCACTTTCTACTTATTCCTAAACTGTACTTTGCTCTGCTCCCCTCCCATCTATTCAAGATGTCTCAGCAGCTCCCCGGAATTGCTTCTATCTATCATGAACCATCCTACCTCTACTCACCCTCTCCCCCAGTCCAATTTTTTTTGCAATCTAAATCCAGATACTCCAATCTCTACCCTAATGCCTACCCCTTCTCCATCTCACCTTTTCTGTTGCACCTGGCAACCTAAATATTCCACTCCATCTCCTACCACATCCTCTCCTATACCCTGCTCTTCCTCTGTTCTTCAAACCCACACGCACACATGTACGCATGCACTCACGCACTCACACTCTCACTCTCACTCTCACTCCTCACTCATACTCTCATCTCTCCTCTCACTCTTACTCTCTCGACTCTCATCTCCACTCTCATACTCATTTATCACACCTCATCTCTACTCACACTCTCCATCTTACTTCTTCCACACCTCTCACTCTTAACAATAAGTCACATCACCCGCTCGGCAGCTCCCACCCAGACGCATCAGGCACATACTGCTCTCTATCGCACATAAGCACACCGACAGCATAGATCTCAAGCATCACAACACTCACTTACACAATGCATAACAATGCATACAGACAGGCACACATCTTTTCTTCTCCTCTGCCACGGCTCCACTCGGCCCATCTCGGCACTCAACACAGTCCATGCTCCAGCGTCACACAATCCACACACAACATCACCCTCTCTCCACATCACACTCAATCCTCACATCCACAAGCATCTCCACACACACACAGCACAACCACACACACCACCACCATTATCTCCACACACTTACGTACTTCTTACTTACTTAGCTGCACTTCAGTCACGTCACTCCTCACTAGATTCACTACTCACTTCCTCACTGCATCTCTCTTCCTCACTCACTCATCTCGGCTCAGGTCATGCACTCATTTTCACATCACTCACGTCACTGCACTCACTCAGTTCCTATCTCATATTCTCACTTCATCTTCTCATACTAGCGTGTTAAACTTTTCTTGCTCTTCTGAGTCGTTTTTATTATTCCTCATCACATCCTCCCCGAGTCACGTGTCTCATCATTGATTGGCATCAAGAAGAAATTCTTTGGGAGTATGGTCTTTTGTTTTCTAAACGGAAACGGTACGGCTGCAGTGACTTACTCACTCAGCTCTCACAGTATCACTCGAACGGCACAGGGACGACGAGGCACTCGACGTCATCACTCAGTCATCCTACATCTCGCTTAATGCATCAGGTCACGATCACTCACGTCACGTTAATCGCGAGATTGGAACTGCTTTGGATTACGCAGTCGAATGACCGAGAACAGAGTCACACTCATCACTCCTCCACTCACACTGCACACTGCAAACTTCACACTCACACTCAACACTCGCCACCATCACATACACCACTCAGACACAAAGCACAAGATCAACAGAGCAACACACAACACACCCACACACACACACACAACAGAAACACACCACAACACACACTAACATACACACACATACACATACACATACAACACATACACATACACATACACATACATTACACACACATAACATAACACAATACACATACAAATATACACACATACACATACACATACACACACCACACACCACACACACAACACACACACACACACACACACACAAACACACACACACACACACACACACACACACACACACAACACACACTCACCTCACTCTCACTCACTCACACATACGCACACGTACACGCATACACACAGGCACACAACACAGGCATATACAGACATTCGCTTATGCACACACAAGCACACATGATTTTTGAAATATGAAATAGAACATTTTTGTCTTTCTATAATTTGTTTTTCTCTTTCTTTTTATTTATAAAGTAAAGTTTGTCACAAAAATCTGGCATCCCAACATTTCTTCAGTAACTGGGGCTATTTGTCTTGACATCCTTAAGGACCAATGGTAAGTATCATTCTCTGTAACTTATTAGTACTGTGGAACATTATTGGTATATTAATTAATTACTATTTATATTTTTTTACCAATATTTTTAATGTGTTAAAATCACTTTTGTGTGTGTGCATGTGTGAATGTATATGTGATATAGATGATGTGTGTTTATTGTGTGATATGAGTAGTATAATTAAAAAAGTGATGTGTTAAGGCAATAGTACTGATTCCAGGGCAGCAGCAATGACCCTACGGACAGTCCTACTCTCCTTGCAAGCATTACTAGCTGCTGCAGAGCCAGATGATCCCCAAGATGCTGTTGTGGCGAGACAGTTTAAAGAGAATCACCCACTTTTTCTTCAAACAGCTCAGTACTGGTCACATGTTCATGCTGGAGGTAAGCATCCCTTATTTAGCAGAGTTGCACTTTCATTAAGAAAGAGTTTGTGTTAATGTGTAAAGGTGTTTGTGAAGTTTTCAGAGGTAATGATATTCTTAAGAGAATGACGATAACAATGATGATGATAATGCTGCTGCTGCTGCTGCTGCTGCTGCTGCTGATGATGATGATGATGATGAAATCATAATCATAATCATAAATCAGTAATATAATAATAACAACTGAAATAATCAATGATAATGAATGATATATGATGATAATGATAATGATCATGAATGATAATGATGATGATAATGATAATGATCATGATGATAATGAATGATATGATGATAATGATAATGATGATAATGATGATAATATTAGCAGTGACAGTAATAGTAATAATAACAAAAACAGTGGCAGTGATAATGATAAAGATAATGAGATTGAGGATGAGGCTAGGGTAATGATGACAAAAATGATAATGATAATGGCTACAGTAATTTTAATGATAATGAGATTGATTATTATTATAGCTATGATAATAGTAATGATTATGGTTATAGTAATGATAAAGATATTGATGATTATTATAATACTTTTGATATTAGAATACTACTACTAGTGATGATAACAAATAATAATGTTGATATGATGATAATAATAATAATAATATAATAATAATAATAATAATGATATAATAAATATGATGAAAAAATAATAATGATAGTAATGATGATGAGAATGATAATATTAATGACAGTAATAATAATGATAATGAGGATGATAATAATAATTGTAATAATAATAATGATAATGATAGTGATGGTAATAATAATAATATAATGATAACAATAATGATAATAATAATAAAATGATAATAATAATAATAGTAGTAGTAGTAGTAATAGTGGTAGTAGTAGTAAAAATTATAGAAATAATGATAATAATAAAGATTATAATAGTAATAATGAAGATAGCGATTGTGATGTTGATAATGATAACAATAATAATAATAATGATAATAATAATAATAGTAATTATAATTGTAATTATAATAATAATGATAATGATAGTGATAATAATGATAATAAGTAATATAATGATGATAATTAGGATATTTATAATGATGATTATGATAATAATGAATAGAAAAAGTAGTAACAATGATGATGAGGATTGTAAAAATGATCAAAATAATTATATAATGATGATGGTAATGTTTATGATGATAAGGATAATGGTCATGATGAGAAGAGTGATGATTATCATTATAATGATAATGATCTTGATGTGGTCTATGATAACGATATTGACAACAACAATAGCAAGACTGATGATAATAATAATAGTGTGGGTGATGATGATGATGATCATGATGAGAGAAATAATAAGATATAATGATGATGATTATGATAATTAGGATACTAATGATTGAATGAATAAAAATCATATTGATAATGATGGTGGTGATTATGTTTCATCATTCTTGGAATGATTATTACTACATCAATCTTGTTTATGTAAATTTTTGCATCTTGATGAATATAACTGAGTACTTCAGAATTTCAACCGTAGAGTTCAGCATGCACTTTACTAAGCTTATACAAGTTACTAATTATTGCATGATTTCCTCTCAGCTCCCAGAGGAAACAGTGACTTCGCCAACAAGGTTCGATGTTTGATGGACTTGGGTGTTGGGGAGCAGCAGGCCCTTGTTGCATTATCATCCTGCAACTGGGACATGGATCGGGCAATCGAACAACTCTTCTCGTAGATGCGTGTGGTTGAGGACACATAGGTAAAGTTTAAAAAAGTAAAGTAAAAAAAAAAAAAGAAATGGGGATTTGCACTTCATCATTTCATTG